AATGCCACAGACTGGTATTAGCATAAATGTATTCTCTCACTGCTCTGGAGGCTAGAAGTCTGAGATCAAGGTGGCAGCAGGGTTGGTTATTACTCCTGCACTTGAGGATAATATAGAGAAAGATATTCACATTCCTTCTCTCTCTCTCTCTCTCTCTCTCTCTCTCTCTCTCTCTCTCTCCCCCCACCCCTCCTCCCTCTCTCTCACTTGCAGATGGCCACCTTCTCTGTGTCTTCACACACCTTTCCTCTGTGTATGTGCATCCTGGTGCATCTTTGTGTCCAAGTTTTCTCATCTTGTAAGAATACCAGTCATGCCCTAGCCAGTTTGGCTCACTGATAGAGCGTCGGCCTGGGGACTGAAGGGTCCCAGGTTCGATTCCAGTCAAGGGCATGTACCTTGGTTGCAGGCACATCCCCAGTAGGAGGTGTGCAGGAGGCAGCTGATCGATGCTTATCTCTCATTGATGTTTCTAACTCTCTATCCCTCTCCCTTCCTCGCTGTAAAAAAATCAATAAAATATATATATATATTTTAAAAATAGAATACCAGTCATGTTGGATCAGGGTACCCTAACAACCTCATTTTAACTTAACCACCTGTTTAAAGGTCTTATCTAAAAAAAAAAAAAGGCCACGTTTTGAGGTACTGGGGGTTAGGAATTCAACATATGAATCCGTGGGAAAACAACTGGTCCTGTAACAAGCAGGACCCACTTTATGGTGTTCAGTCATATTTCTGTGAATTATTTAAGGGCGGAAGAGCTCTTCATGGAAGAGTCAGATCAACCACAACACACTCTTGACTGGGTGCCATGGTTGGGCTGGATGTGTTCCAGGGTTTTCTAGAAATAAATGCACTAGGAGAAAATCTACACAACCTTGGGTTTGGTGATGAGTTTCTAGATACAACACCCAAAGCATAATCCCCCCAAATTTAATAAGCTGGACTTTATTAAAATCAAAGACTTTGCTTTGTGAATAACACCGCTAAGAGATGAAAATACAAGTTATCCACTGGGAGAAAGTATTTGTAAAGCACAGATAAATAACTTGTATCCAAAGTATACAAAAAAAATGCTAAAACCCAACTACTAAAGAGGGGGGTGGAAAAATAGGGGACATCGGTAATACTCTCAACAATAAAATAAAATTAAAAAAACTCGCCCTAACCGGTTTGGCTCAGTGGATAGAGCGTCGGCCTGCAGACTGAAGAGTCGCAGTTTCGATTCCAGTCAAGGGCATGTACCTTGGTTGCAGACACATCCCCAGTAGAGGATGGGCTGGAGGCAGCTGATTGATGTTTGTCTCTCATCGGTGTTTCTTACTCTCTCTCTCTCTCCCTTCCTCTCTGTAAAAATCAATAAAATATATTTTTTAAAAATAAAAAAACTCAACAACTACAAAAAATATGTCTAATGGTCAAAATATCTGACACCTCTTCAAAGAAGATACACAGATGGCAGGTTAGCAGTGAAACGATGCTCGGCATCATTTAACATTAGAAAAGAGCAAATTAAAACATGAACTACTTACATCCGGGCTAAGACCTGTGTAACCTTTAGAACACCAACTGCCTGCAAGGAGGGGCAAACAGCAGCTCCATTCACTGCTGGTGGGAGCACAAACGACACGGACACATTGGGGACGGCGCGACAGAGCTCCACTTTGTCTCACCACATAAGACAACAATCATACTCCTAGACATTTACCCACCTGACTGAGAGTTATGGCCACGCAAGAACTTGGACATGAATCTTTACATTAGATTAATTCGTAATCCCCCCAAACTGGAAGCAACCAAGATGTCCTTCAATAGATGAATGGATAAGGACATTGTGACACATACAGTGGGGTGATATACAAAAACCAAAAATAAATGAGCTAAAGAGACACAAAAACATGGGTGAATCTTAAATGCATAATTGCTCAGTGATTCCATTTATGTGACAATTCAGAAAAGGCAACTACAGAAACAGTAAAGGGACCAGTGGTTGCCAGAGGACTGGGGAAGCAGAGGTTGAATAGATGAAGCAGGGGGGTGTTTAGGGGGAGTGAAACTCTCCCATAAGATAAAGTAATGGTGGACACATGACATGTCGCATTTGTCAAAATCCACAGAAAGTTATGACACAGCACTAGCCAGTTTGGCACAGTGGATAAAGTGCTGGCCTGTGGACTGAAGGGTCTCATCTTCAATTCCGGTCAGGGGCACATGCCTGGGTTGTGGGCTTGATCCCCAGTAGGGAGCGTGCAGGAGGCAACCGATCCATGATTCTCCCTCATCATCAATGTTTCTATCTCTCTCTCCCTCTTCCTTCCTCTCTGAAATCAATAAAAATATATTGTATGGCCGAAACCGAAAAGCTAGTCAGTCCTTCCATGGCAGGCAGCTTGTCGATGTTTCTCTCTCATCGATGTTTCTGACTATCTCTCTCCCTTCCTCTCTGTAAAAAATCAATAAAATATATATATATATATATTGTATGCAAATTTTAAAAATCGTATTGAGAGTAGACAGTCATCCCAGTGCTGCATGAGTGGCTGTGATTTGTGATAGGTGCTACAGAAGAAAAGTAGGGGGCTCTCAGGGTGTGAAAAAGAGTCTGATTTCATTCATTCATTCATTCAAGTGCTTAGTATCTGTTTGCTGAGCACTGTTGTAGGCACTTGGTTATTGGCACAACCAAGAAAGTAATGTTTGCCCTAGCTGGTTTGGCTCAGTGGATAGAGTGTCGACTTGCAGACCAAAGGGTGCCAGGTTCAATTCCAGTCAAGGGCACATGCCCAGGGTTGCATGCTGGATCCCCAGTAGGGGGCGTGCAGGAGGCAGCCAATCAATGATTCTCTCTCATCATTGATGTTTCTAGCTCTCTCTTCCTCTATGAAATCAGCAAAAAAAAATAAATCTTTTTTAAAAAAAGAAAGTAATGTTTAAGCTGAAGCCCATTGGTGTGGTATTTGTTTTATTTTTTGTTTGTTTGTTAATCCTCACCTGAGGGTATTTTTCCATTGATTTTTAGTGAGAGTGGAAGGGAGGGGAGATAGAGAGAGAAAGAGAAACCTGGATGTGAAAGAGACACATCGATTGCTTGCCTCCTGCACATGCCCTGACGAGGGCCCTGGCCGGGGAGGAGCCTGCAACTGAGGTATGTGCTCTTGACCAGAATGGAACCTGGGACCCCAAGGCCACAGGTTAACGCTATATCCACTGAGCCAAACCTGCTAGGGCTCTTTTCTTTTTAATATGAAGGTATACTGTAAGCTCTCCAGCAGAATCTCTAACGTACGTGAGACTAGAGGACACATATTGACACATCTCTCTCTCTCTCTCTCTCACACACACACACACACACACACACACACACACACACGCGCGCGCTCCCCACACACGCACGCGCGCGCTCACCCCTCTGGATAAAGCAAACTCTGAAAAGCAGCCAGCTCAACCATGCTGACCTACTAAGAATATCTTCTGGTCTATCTCATCCCATCCCCCACATCCTAAGAAGAGGGTTTAGAAATAAACTTTTATTTTAGAATAGTTTAAATCTGCAGAAAAGCCACGATGAGAGGGCAGTTCTCTTTCACCCTGCACCCAATGTCTTCCTGGGGCACATCTGTCATCCAAGGAATGAATGTTGACCCATTATGATTATGAGCTGACTCAGATTTCCTTATATTTTTACCCAGTGAATGTTCTTTCTCTGTCCCAGGATCCTATCCAGGGTCCCCCATCACATTTGGTTACTAGGTTCTCTCTCTCTCTCTCTCTCTTTCTCTCACTCTTTCTCTCTGTTAACCCTCACCCGAGGATATATTTCCATTAATTTTTAGAGACAGTAGAAGGGAGGGGGAGAGACACACAGAGAGAAACATCGATGTGTCAATTAATTAGCTCCCACCTGTGTCCTGACCAGGGCCTGGGATCGAGCCTGCAACCAAAGCATGTGCCCGTGACTGGAATCGAACTCGGGACCCTTCAGTCTGCGGGGCTGACGCTCTATCTGAGCCAAACCGGCTAGGGCTCCTTAGGCTCCTTTAACCTCTGTCCCTTTCTCAGACTTCCCTTGTTTTGGATGACCTTGAGTTTTGAAGAGCTGGGTATTTTCAGGGTGCCTCTCACTGTAGGCTTACTTCATGGGGTCCTCAGAGTTAGACTGGTTATGGGCCATTGGGAGGAAAACCACAGAAGCACGGTGGCATTCTATTGCATCAAACAAAGGGTACATGCCGCCACCCGATTCATCCTGACGTTGACTTTGACCACCGACTGGGGTCATGTTTATCAGGTTTGTCCACTGTAACCGTACTCCCTCCCCCACCCCTTCGCTGTCCCCCTCGGCAGGAAGTCCCACGTGCAGCCCACACTTATGGGTGGGGTCATGCTCCAGCTTGTGTAGCTCTGTAAATTATCTGGAATTCTTCTGCACGGAGATGTGTCTCCTCTCCTCATTTATTTAATCAATTGTCTATGTCAGGATGGACGGGTGGAGACTTACTTTATACTTCGGGTTATAATCCAACACTAGGGTATGTTGCTGCCCTGCTTGTTGCAGCATTGGCCTTCGGGAGCCTTTTCGGTTGGCTCCCGTGCCCCTTTGACAGTGTGTGTGTGTGGGGAGGGGGGGCACTTCCCTACTCTCTGGCCTTAGAAGGTGCTCCAGGCTCCTCTTGTATGTTTCCTGCTCAAGCCCTGGAATCCGTCACTTCTCCAGCTCTCCTTGGGAAGTGATGTGGAACCCGAGCTGGGGCACTGGATGGCTCATGGCTGCTAGGTGTCCTTGTGTCGAGGCCCTGGCTGCTGACAGAGCAAGCAAACGTGTTCAGATGCTGACCTGCGGGCGTGCACGTCTCTGCAAATAGTTCTCCATGCGCCCATCTGCAGGGGTAGGACGCCAACCCAGGACCCCAGGGATCATTCGCGCCTCCCCGCTTTGCGTGGTGGTAACCTCCCACCCCAACAGAGAGAACACGGCTCCCCGATCCACTTACCTAGTTGTCAAATTCCAGGATGCACGCCTGGTGTGATTCCAGAATTGTCCACCTGTATCCCACCGGAAGCAGCTGTACCCACTGGAGTGCACTATTTGGCCTTTAGTTTTTCAGGCTCCTGTTCCAAAATTACTTAAATCAGCATCTTTTCTTCCATCTGGACCTTTTTTTCCTGGCCTGGCTCTCCCGTTCCTTGCCAAGAAGACCTGGCCTGTGGGGCTCCGGTGGTGTTTTCTGGGGGACTGAATCCCTAGGCCCTTTTGAACCTCATCAATGCCGTGGGCTTGGGGACAACCCTCACCCCAAAACAACCCTGTTGAATTCTCTCCATCCACCCGCCAAGCTCTGTGAATCATGGGCGAACCCGGCCCAGGGCCCAACTCCAGTCCGTCTCCATTCCTGCCCCGGGGACCCCTGCTCACCCCCAGGACCAGGCAGCAGGGGCTGGCCACTCTGGGCCCTGGCCAAGCTGTCCAGCCTCCTGCTGGTCCACCTGGTAACTGGGGCCTTCTCGGGTTACTCAGAGGATCACTTTGCCTTAGAAACTCCAGCTGTCCTCCCGGGCGCATCGGTAACTGATGCCAAGGCCCCAGCAGCGGAGGGCCAGCAGCAAGCGAGTGTCACCAGCTGTTCCGCAAGCACCGCGCTCTGTCCCTGCAGCCCTGCTGTCACTAGTAAGGAAGGTGAGCAAACCTGGGGGGTGGGGGGCACTCAATAGTCTGGGATGGGGAGCCCTGGGATGCCTCCCTCCCGAGCCCCCGGACAGCACAGTCAGCCCTGCCAGAAGCCTGGATGCACACAGGGCCACCAGAAACCCCCCGTGCTGTCTCTCCCTCGGCAGTCGCACGGCCACCGCTGCCATGCCGGCCACCAACCAGGGCTGGCCCGAGGACTTCGGCTTCCGGCTGGGCGGCTCCGGCCCCTGCTTCGTCCTGGAGGTGGCCGAAGGGAGCTGCGCGCACGCCGGGGGGCTGCGG